GTGTGTGTGTGTGTGTGTGTGTGTGTGTGTGTGTGTGTGTGCGTGCGTGCGTGTGTGTGAAGGGAGAAGGAGGAGTATTACAAGTATTACAACAAGGACTTCTCGTTATTAAGTCGACACGACACTGCGTATTCCACACTTAAAAATTACCTTCTCGCCGTCAGCTGTTCTTTTAGTTGGTTTGTCCCGCTGGGGGCTAAAACAATGGATTGAAACTCCATCCTACAACTCCTCTGTCACCGTCTTAGGCCCACGTCGCATTGATTTATTAAATTCGGAGTCCATGATTCTCTTTATAAAGTGCGAAAACAATGCTTGGTCGTCCACGTTTACGCAATTCGCGATTTCTCGAAGTCTTTAAAAATACTGTCGCAGCGTTTCATTTCGCTTCTTTTTAGAATTCGACAATAAGAGATGGATTTCAGCGCTTAAAGAATTCTCGTTAGAAAGCGACTTTTAATAGGTCCCACGAAAGAATACCTCTTTCTGACTTTACAAACATGGCCGCCGAACCTGAGAGTTTCCTCTTCGAGAAAATAAATTTCTGGGTATCGTTCCACCTGCATAGTGAAGTCATGTCTTCGACCTTGGATACTCATATTTGTAAATTGTCTTCTTCGTGTCCCGAAAAAGCGGGAATAGCGTCTTCAACGTCTCGGAATAACACGCTACAACCACCTACCACCCTAACCACAACAATGACGGAACTTTTCGCCTTTCTTATCCATTCTCCTGCGCTCCAGGAGTCGTCATTGAGTGGCAATTGGTGTTCTTATTTCCCATTTCCGTCTCAGTATGACAAAACACTCAAAAATTTAAACAGTGACGGCACGGCACAACGAGCACGTGTCTTCAGAAATAGCAACATTCTAACCTATCGCTACCGTAAAGCAGCCCCCAATTGTAGGATGAAAAAGGAGTATAGAGCATCGGGAAACACTTGCAACACAAATAAAATGACGTTTTATTATTTAAAAAATACAAGGACTAACGGTATTAAGTCGACACGACACTTCGTATTCAACACTTAAAAAATTACCTTCTCGCTTTGTCAGATGTTCCTTTAGTTGGCTTGTCCGAGTGCGGGCTAAATCAATGGATGGAAGCGACCATCGTGCATATATATGTATAGTATACATATATACATACATACACACACACACACACACAGANAAAATTTTAATTTTATAAAAACTATGTCCTTGTGAATTATTTAAGGTCATAGGGAATGCTAGATGGACTCAGTTAATATTTTGTAGTGCACCCAAACCTTCTCCTGTGCATAAATTTGGCAATGCCATAACTATACATCCTGCTTTTAAGTGAAGTCCTGTAGGAGGCAAGCCCGAAGGTGTCATTGATTGTAAATATTCAATGGAATGCTGTAAACTTATGTTTTCATTGTCGGCTTTGTCAACAGCTAGTTAGTCACTACGCTATGCAAACACTTGACTATTTCCCCTGGTAGTCACCGGAAGATGATTTATTTTTTCACTTCATCATTTCTAGCTGATAATATAGCTCCAATTCTTTTTCTTTCTCAAATAAATCTAAAGGATAATTCTTTAAGTAAGTTACCAAGTAGGTAAAAATTAAGGTAACCAATAGGTATTGGTTGAGAGAGAAAAAACATTAATTATTTGAAAAGAATTTATTTGGTCAATCGGACCACGAAACCTAATAGATTTAATGGTTAAAACTTTTCAATTAAATTATCGCATAACATTTCCTGGGGTATTTCAAGATTTTATGGTACTATTCCCGATATCTAATAACGAATCTGAGAATTAAAGGATCTTCATCGACACGGAAATTCTTGGACAAGTTGAATTGCTAAAAGATATTCCATAATAAAATCTTTTTTAAGTAATACATAAATGCGTCTCCTGCCTCCTTTTTTATGACTGGTAAAACCTGTCGAAAGTAACCAACCAGTATTTTCCCAGCAAATGCAAGTTCATCATGAAAACCATCTCTAAATGTCCAATCCATAGTGGCTAACACAGTTTGGGTAATCGTCGGAGCTTCATACTAGATGAAATTATAAGTTTGTTGGAGTGTCTGTTTCATTTTACGTGACCAGTTCAGTGTGAAGCGGTGTTCGTCTAAATTAAACCGTAACCCGAATGTTTCAGTCGGGCTTAGCCTGAGAAGAGCTGATTAAAAGGCTGATTAAAACAGCTTAAGTTTAGCCCTGAGAAGGGTTGATTGGAATTTGATTTGGACATGTTGTCAGTCGAAAATAATGAAATAATAAATATCTTCTCTCGCTGTCAAAAAAAAGTGAGAGAGAGAAAGAAACATGAAGAAATCTTATGATAAAAAACTTTCGTAACTTCGCCAATTGTAATTTTCGTCTTTTGCAATATTCTTTATTCCATTGATCTTAAATAGCGGTTTAATACTGTGAAAGGGAAGATACAGTATTTGCAAAATTTTTCACAGTTTTAATCCAACAAAAATTCGGAAGTAGCTAAATTCCGGATTAAAATATAATACATAAAATATAACACACTGATACCAATTGACTTATTTTGTATAAAAACATTCTTCTTTCCAATGTATAATATGATATGGTTCTAAAAGTTTAAACTGAGAAATAGTGAGAGATTTAAAAATTATATTAAATCGTTGCGTTTAACCTCCCATTATCTTTATCTCTTTCTTCACCATTAAAATGGTATATGTCCTTCTCCTGTCTCACTCACTCTCTCTCTCACTTTCTCTCTCTCTCTCACTTTCTCTCTCTCTCTCTCTCTCTCACTCTCTCTCTCTCACTCGCTCTCTCTCTCTCTCTTTCTTTCTCTATATGTGTTTATCTCTTTCTCCGCCTTCACTCACTTTTTCCTTTCTTAACACACCACCAGATAGAGAGATGTTTCAGAGATGTTTCATATCATTAACACTAAATATTTAAGGTTCAGTACGTCCTCAATCTCTTCTTATCAGCTTTCGACTTCTTTACTTTATTACACCATTCTCATAAAGTATATCTTCTAACCGTCAAACTATCAATTACAGTTTAACCTTTCCGCTGTTTCTCACTCTCTCTCTCTCTCTCTCTCTCTCTCTCTCTCTCTCTCTCTCTCTCTCTCTCTCTCTGTCTCACACACACTTCAATCGAAACATTTTTAAAACTGTTTTTTTTACAACAATTTTACACAATGACATATGACACATATGACATCACAAGAATAGCACCACACTTTATTCCGAAGAACTTATTTTGTATAAAAATTTTGTTCTTTCTAATGTATAATATGATATGGTTCTAAAAGTTTTAACTGAGAAACATTGAGAGATTTAAAAAAGTTAGATTAAAACATTGCGTTTAACGTCCCCCTATCTTTTTCTCTTTCTTCACGATAAAAAGTACCATAAAGACTTTACGTTATCCAACATGTAACCTAAATAAAAAAATGCATATAATGGATATCCAATTTTTTGAAAAGAAGTTTTACGTTTAAATTTTCTCCTGCGTAGTGAATTTGATATAAAGAATGGATTCGATGGGTTTGAGGCGTGATACAATTGAATAGTAGCACTCTGAAGTAATAGCATTAATATTCATTTTCACTGTCACTTATTGTTAGACGTTGCGACGCCAGTGTCACATCAATCGTTGTGAAGGAAGGTTGCTGGTGGTTTTTTACAAATGGGATTGGGTGGCGTCTGAAGACAAATGTGATATTACGAATTTTGTAAATGGTAAAATTTGTGAAACCAATGAATCGCTTGTTTTACCGAGTGGGTTTCAATCTCGTGCTCATCTTTTCTGAATTTTCAGTTCTTAACTTTTGAGAGTAGTGTGGGTTTTATGTGCCCACGTGTGCCTATTTATAACCCAAATGAAGTGAAAGTCTTTGGTTAATAGAAGATGTGAACAGTGGTCGGTTATCCATTTTAAAGTGATTGTAACATTTTTTATTTTTTCCATGAGAGAATGTTTTTAGGCTTGCGAGAAATAACTAATCACTCCGGCTGGTAGGATGGCTCATACTAGGGAGCCAAGGAAGTACTGGAACTTGAACTCGAAAGCCGAAATGTCTTCGGATTCAACCTTGCTTTTTGACTGTTAAAAGGACCGATATGTTTTTTCTGAATGCAAGCAGTTGGATAATATTAGGCCACAGGGTTGCCACGAAACAATTGGTTCAGGTCGACAAATTTTGAAAAGCGAAGACGCTGCATAGCCAGTTAATCTGAGGCAAATAATCTAAATATAAGTTCTGACATGGATAAGCGAGAGTCTTAACCACAAAATTTGTGTCAAGAGTAGGGAAATGGATTTTGCAAAAGCTTAACAATAAAACCTATTTATCACAAATTCCATTCCATAAAATAAGAGGCAACTTTCATTACATCTTCATTCCCGATCGAAGGCTTTCCTCTTTATTAAAACAGAATTTTACTATTGTACATTGAAAGAAATTTATAGCTGGCTGTAAGTCAACCGTGACATTCTATTCCGAGAATCAAACATGACGCCAAAATGTAAGTAGTACTGGTCTGTGGTCGATCCCGCTCTACCAACCACTGATTTAATTTAGTTTTTAAGACCTGTTTTATTTTCCGTTAACGCCCTCGCGGCGATATTGGCGACGGTCAAGTTCCCCTTGTGTACGTTAGCTTGGGATAATTATGTAATAAAAGCCGGCCGTTTACGACTTACCGCGCGTGCTTGCTTTACGGTTATATTTAAGTGGTGTATATAACCGAGGGGCTTTTCACCGCCAGTAAGTAAAACCCTCGGGTTGGGAGAGCTAGCCAAAAGTTAAATGCCCCGTCTAAGTTGGGATGAAGTGTGTTAATTTGTTGCTATAAATCTAAAATGGTTGCAATTTTCCTTTTAGTGGGTCCCATGTATTTTGATCTTTACTCTACCCATAGATATATACTTAGTAATAATTTCTTTGATTTTTCAACGCTTTACTATTTAGTATTTGTCAGGTAAAAACGAAATAAAATAAATTATTTTACAAAGAATGTAAACATGTTTCCCTCTTATCATTTATGTTCATCAATGAAAGTTGAAATGCCCTAATATTAACATATTCAGCAAAAATTAATAAATATTATATTTATAAAGTTTGTGTATAGTGATATTTTGTAAATTCTTAACTTAAATCCTTTTTTAAAAAGATAGTTCCTACTCACAGTAAGTTGTTTTGCAACGATCCGGATTTCGAGCCTTTTAGCTCATCATCAGATTCAAAGACTGATACAACCACGTCTCTCAACATGAATTGCCAAAGTGAACCGCTGATACCTCCGCCAACGCGACGTTCCAATTATCAGCTGATTTTTTTAATGATGCTCAATTTGAACGTGCGAAACGCGGAAATTATAACACAAATAAATATTAGAATAATAAATACTTAATATTACTATAAATTACTATAAAAATAATAACAATTAAAATAATTAGATTTATTATTTAGACGTTTGCTATTATTTATGTACATATTTAAAATGGGAGGTAGATCAAAATCTGTTATATTATTAATGCATTTATCACCATGTTCAATTTTACATTTTTTAATTTCAAATTTCTCAAACCAATCTAGTTCTTTCCCT